GAGTGCGCTTCGCCCGGCTGGGGTCTCGGGGGTGACCACCTCTCACGCGGGGGGCCGGCTCCCTGAGTCACCATCACCGCGGTCCTGGGCCCTCCCACCCACCTGGGCTCTGAGCACCCCAGCGCGCACCGCGGGGGCTGCCGCGCGCCCGCGTTCGCTCGCCCGGGTCTCGCCCCCTTCCTGGGGGAGGTCGGGTCGGGTCGGGGGGCAGAAGGCCAGGCGCGAGCACACGGCGACCGCGCGGGAAGCGCTCGCGCTGCCGGCCGCCGCTAAGGCAGGGGGCTGTCCTGCCCGCACGCCGAGCCGCCCCGCCCGCCCTAGCCGCGAACGCCGGGCCGAAGTCGCGGGCGGTGCAGAGCAGCGTGCGCCGCCCCAGCGAACACGACGCCCACGCCTCGCGGCTCGGGTTCGCGGGCAGAGCCGGGAAGCCCCTGCTGGGGCCGCGCGGAGCACTCGCCTGCGGCTGGCGGGCCGTGAGCTGCGCCCGCCCGCTGGGAGCTGTCGAAGTACCCGGCGGCCCCCAGCTGCGCGTAGGCCAGTGAAGACCACGAGGCCGCGGAAGAGGAGGCGGGAGGGCGTCCCCGCCCAGGTGCGGGCGGCTGCCGGGCCCGGGGCGGCCAGGGTGGCGGGCGGAGGCGGGAGCGGCACGGGAATGAGGGCGGGTACGGGTGCTGGGCGCTCGCCAAGGTACACTGACCGTCTGGCGTCGGTCCCAACGTGTGCGGCCATACGTGTGCCCCACGAGTTAACAGGGCAAATCTCACGTTAAGTGTCCTTACTCCAGAAAGAAGGGACACAGAAAAACTTCTGGAGGTGAAGGATAAAGATCAGGTGTCTGCGTATTCCAGACTCAAACCGTGTACATTAATTATGTGTATTTGTTGTATGTCAATTATACCTCAAAACTTTTTTTTAATTTTTTTTTTTTAAGATTTTATTTATTTGACAGAGAGAGACACAGCGAGAGAGGGAACACAAGCAGGGGGAGGGGGAGAGGGAGAAGCAGGCTTCCCGCTGAGCAGGGAGCCCGATGCGGGGCTCGATCCCAGGACTCTGGGATCATGACCTGAGCCGAAGGCAGACGCCTAATGACTGAGCTACCCAGCTACCCACAAATAATCTTTTTTTTTTTTTTAGGATTTTTATTTATTTGAGAGAGAGAGAAAGCACATGAGAAGGGGGAGGGTCAGAGGGAGAAGCAGACTCCTTGCTGAGCAGGGAGCCCAATGCGGGACTTGATCCCAGGACCCTGGGACCATGACCTGAGCCGAAGGCAGACGCTTAACGACTGAGCCACCCAGGCGCCCCAACTTTTTAAAAAATTTATCGTTTGGTAGTATAGTGATGCTCATAGGAATTAGTTCCAGGATATTTAGCTTCTGTGAAAGATCTCTGGATAGTTTGCCTTAAGTCTACTTTTTTTTTTTTTTTTTTTAGATCTTATTTATTTGACACACAGAAAAAGCGCACAAGCAGGGGGCAGGGGCAGAGGGAGAAGCAGGCTCCCCGCCGAGTAAGGAGCCCCACGTAGGGCTCAATGTGGGGCTTAATCCCAACCGGGATCATGACCCCAGCGGAAGGCAGACGCTTAACCGACTGAGCCACCCAGGCGCCCTGCCTTAAGTCTACTTTTTATATGCCATCTGTTTTCCCTCTCATTGGTTTCTTCATTTCTGAAGGTTATTTGGCACAGTGCTATGCAGACGAACCACCTGAGACATTGTTAATAGGCAACTTTTGGTTCTGTAAGACTGCGATGTAGCCTGAGGTTCTGTAATTCAAAAGAGCTCCCAGGTGATGCTAATGCTGCTGGTCCACAAAGTATAGTAGCAAAACTCTAGCAACACTCCTTTTCACTTACCAATTAACTGCCTCAGAGAAGGCACGGGGCTAAAGGCTGTCAACTACTTCTGTTTAAAGTATCTAGAATTAGGGGCGCCTGGGTGGCTCAGTCGTTAAGCGGCTGCCTTCAGCTCAGGTCATGATCCCGGGGTCCTGGGATCGAGCCCCGCATCGGGCTCCCCGCTCTGCGGGAAGCCTGCTTCTCCCTCTCCCACTCCCCCTGCTTGTGTTGCCTCTCTCACTGTGTCTCTCTGTCATATAAATAAATAAAATCTTTGAAAAAAAAAAAGATTTTAAAAAAGTATCTAGAATTAAGAGGCACTTGGTAGTAAAAAAAAAAAAAAAAACACCTGAGTGAATGTGCCTTTCGGGAAAAGCAGGCTGACAACAGAATACCAACTAACAGTATCCATTACTGAGTCTCCAGTAAGTACTCCTGGTCCTATTCAAACTGCATATATGAGCTACACTGTCCTAGAGATCCATCCTAAAGTGGGATAAAAAGAAGGTATCAAAGCATGTTTCATTCGCTTCATGAACTTGGTAATTCTGTTCATAAGAAGAGTTTGCATTACAAATTCAATTTGTAAAATACAAATTTAAAAGTATGTATAGAATCAGGGCACCTGAGTAGTTCAGTCTGTTGAGCGCTGAAGTCATGATCTCAGGGTGGTGAGATCAGCCCAGCGCTGGGCTCCCCACTCAGCACTGAGTCTGCTTGAGATTCCCTCTACCCCTCCCCTTGCTCTTGAACATGCACGTTCTCTCTCTGTCAAAGAAAGAAAGAAAGAGAGAAAGAGAAAGAAAGAGAGAAAAAGAAAACGTTTTTTTAAAAGTATGTGTAGAATGTTTCAAAGTGTTTTAAATTTCAAAGGGAAGTTTCTCCTATTTAGTAATAATATATATGAGCATGTGTATGTATGCACAAATGTATTAAATATCTTAGTGCAGAAAATAATGTAATTTTATATCAATTCTAATAATTCCATTGCTATATAAATCATTTCCTCAAAACAAACATGATTGTACAAATATTGACATGAAATACTCATGTTGGCATCAAAATATATAGATATATATGCATCAAAATACATAAATGTTTTGTAATATGCAACATGGCTACATTTTCATATCATAACTGCTATATGAGGTTGATCTCAAGCAAGCAAGCATGCCAGGTTTTCTTTGTTCAAATGAAGTTACATAATTTGGAAAATTTAACACACTAAGTAACACTATTTGTTGATAAGCATGGATATCTGTCCCTTCATTCAAAAAAAGCAAATAGCAGAATGATATCAAGATACACTCCACTGGAAAAATCCTCAATATGTAACCAATGAAACTTCAACAAAGGAAGAGAAATGGGAAAATATGTTCAAAATCAAATGTTAAAATATCTATTAATACTCCAGGTAGAATTTGATTAAGAAAACCAGTTAGGGGCGCCTGGGTGGCTCAGTCGTTAAGCGTCTGCCTTCGGCTCAGGTCATGATCCCAGGGTCCTGGGATCGAGCCCCACATCGGGCTCCCTGCTCTGCAGGAAGCCTGCTTCTCCCTTTCCCCCTCCCCCTTCTTGTGTTCCTTCTCTCGCTGTGTCCTTCTCTGTCAAATAAGAAAAGAAAAGAAAAGAAAAAAGAAAAGAAAAGAAAACCAATTAAAAGGAGAGCATAAAGAACCCTTGGGGGGGGAGAATGTGTCAATATGCACAATTGAAAAGAGGAAATATATTTACTTTCAGCTGTTGAAAATGAGAATAATGCAAACTATTAGAAAGGTGAATCTCTCCAAAAGAAATGGCCCAAATTGTTTGTAAGAAATTTTCAAGCATAGAAAAGAAACTGACACTCATATTAGAGAAAGTAAACTGTCCTCACACGTTTTTTTGAGTGAAAAAAGACAGCACCCAAAAATTCCATTGAGATCATATTAGGAAGTAGATTATCTTGTTTAAAAATAGTGTTAAAACTAGGTGTCTGAGGAATTAATGGAATTGCTGCTTACAAATAGGCAGAGGATTCCTCCCTGGCTTTCCCGTCTTCTCTTTCCTGTATCCCTTTCCATTGCTTTTAATAAAATCCTTCCCCATCAACAGAAGCATTTTGTACAAAGAAGTTTTCATTAAAAAGGTGACATTTAGGGGCATCTGGGTGGCTCAGTCATTAAGTGTCTGCCTTCGGCTCAGGTCATGATCCCAGGGTCCTGGGATGGAGCCCTGCCTCAGGCTCCCTGCTCCGCAGGAAGCCTGCTTCTCCCTCTCCCACTCCCCCTGCTTGTTTTCCCTCTCTCGCTGTGTCTCTCTCTGTCAAATAAATAAATAAAATCTTTAAAAAAAAAAAGTGACATTTATCTTGTTGCAATATTTTTCTCTTGTTCAACAAAACACATCACTAAAATAAAACAATGCACCAAAATAAATGTCAAATTTTTAATAATTAAGAAAACCCACTTGTTTGTGATATGGGATTTGGATTCATTTAGTTAGGATCCATCGTTTTCAAAGAGACACAAGTATTTTAGTTGCTAAGTTACCTCATATGAGTACCATCATGTGGGTTGTAAATTAAATTATATTTCCTTTCAAATACAACTAGGTTTGAATAATAATGGGATTTCTTGTCATCACTCCTATCAAAGACTCTCCATAAAAGTCCTAAAAAGCAGGTGTTGGATCTAAATTTTACCCAGTCATGAATACCAACCGTGGCTGACATGATTTCTATAGTCATCATGGCTGCCTAGAAGGCAGTGACAGCCCTTCTTCTTTAAACCCTCCCCACAGCTTTCTACATAATAGGTCAGAATGGAAGATGCCCTATACCTAATAAAGGTCAGCAATCCATGACATATGTCTCCCAAGGGAAAAGTATAAAGAGGTTCCCTCTCCTACCCATTTTCCTCTTTAACCAAAATACACACACACCACAATACAATTATTCATTGGTTGACCAAATAGAATTTGCAGTGTTAACAAAAAGCACCAAAGCTTATATTAGCATAGAGACCCCCACAAAGAATAGTGCTAATAGCTGCAGAATGAGAATGTGCATTCATTTCATGTCATACATAATAACTTTACCTAGCTCAAAGCAAACACTCAAATCCAACCACGGTCGTGAAAGTGAGCATGTGAACAAGTAAACCATTAATTCACTTACAGCAAGTTGCTGGGTCTTCATCACTGTCATCAGAACAGTCCTGCTGCGAGTCACAGACCGAGTCTTGGGCAATGCACTGGCCATTGGCACAAGTGAATTCATCTGTAGGACAAAGCCTTCTGGACGGGGCAAGTGCACAGGCACAGACCCAGAGCCGATCCAGCCCAATAAAACCTTTCTGGCTCAAAATAGTCCCTTCCAATATAATCTTCAAAAAGCAAAACACGAACAATGTTTGAGTTTATGACCTCCTTTCAAAGACCCCTCCAAAAAAAGAATAATAGATATTTAATAATTACTGAGACAAACACCTGTTAAAAGAGCCAGCAAATACAATCGACAAAGGTCCTACTCGGGGAAACCTGACTCACAGGCGTAATTGATCTGAATGGAAAAAGCCCTGCATTTAAGAAAGGTCAGCAATCCATAATATATGTCTCCAAAGGGAAAAGTATAAAGATATGGGCACAGTAGATCCCCTGAGGCCTCTGAGAAACCACACATGATCCAGTGAAATACAACATGTCACTTAGACCACTGGCTATGTCCTTCCCTGCAAACTTTTCATTTGGGCATCATCCTCATGGCTCTCTAACATTCAGGGAAAAGAATAAGCATTATCACTACTTATACACCAAGAGCTATAACTACGTCTGGTTTTTAAACTACTGAAATTAGCGTTGGAATGCAGGCAGGGAAAGGTTAGGCAAATAGTAAGGGACACAACAGATGAATAGAAAACTTTTTTAAAAGAATAAATATAAAAATATATTTTCACAAAAGAAGAATTTCTCTAATAATCAAAGAAGTGCCAATTAAAAGAAATAAATCTCATTTTCTCCAATCAAATTGCTAGTTTTGGAGGTATACAGCATTAGCAAGTGAAACAACCGTCCTTGCTAATCCAGTGTAAGATACTATCAAAGTATTAATATTCCTTGAGGTTCCACCAAGAGCAATGGTTGGCTAGCATCAGAGAGAAGGAGAGGCATGAAGAGCTGACTCTACCAAATATCTAATTCTCTGCTGTCCAATATGGTAGCCACAGCTACAAGGGGCTCTTTCAAATTAAATTAAAGTAAGATTAAAATTCAGTTCCTCAGCCATACTGGCCACATTGCAAGTGTTCGACAGCCATCCGTGGCTATTGGCTACCATATTGGAGAGCACAGATACTCACATTTTCCCTTATGACAGAAAATACTATTGAACAGCAATGAACTAGGTGTTGTTTGTGTGTAAATAAGATACTAGGAAGAAAGACTAATTCCTTTTAGTATTTTCCAGCTGAAAGTTTCTGACTAGATTTTCTCCTTTGCAAAAATATGAGGAATATATATATATTTGTTACGAATTACTTAAGTTTCAGTTCACAAATATATTTAACAATTTACTCTAGAAGATGTTACATTCAAATCATATCTAATAATAGGAAAACTTTGTACACTGCTATATACATTCTCCATAGTGAATACCGGAGTATAAATATGTATAAATTATTGGACCTAAGCTGTATATTTTTATAGCAGCAAGAGATCAGATATGCAAAAATGATGTCAGTTCGGGTTTCAAAAATTGATGAGTTTAAACTTAGATTTGAAAAAGGTGCTATTATTGAAAGTTAATTACATTTAATATGCACTTGGAAATCTAGAATAACTCCCAAATTACTCTCTTTATATTTTGTTTTATCTTTTAGTTAAATAACAAGACCAACTTTAATATTCAGTTTATGTAAAAGAATGAAACTCCAATCATTTAGTACCTCTTTCAGAAGTTTTAAAGATAAATATCAGCTTAGAAAATTAAAAATTGTGTCAAATATTAATTCAATAGGCTATGATATAAACCTCAACTTTGCTGTGATTAATACAAAAATACTATGGTTCACAAATTCCAATCTCAGCAGTAAATGGGATTCTAAAAATCTGCATGGTTACAGTCCAGTATCATTTGGGTTCTCCTTTTTAGCACCTAGAAAAATGTACATATGTGGTATTACCATAAAGGAATGAAATTGGTTTCATGAGCCACATGTACAATCAGTCTTATTATTTTACACTCACAGTCCAGCATAAGCATATTTACACACTCTTTATACAACAAAAAAATAATGGAATTTTAAATAAAATACTGCATTTCAAAAATAAAATTATGAATAGCAATTAATAATACCACCTATTTAAATGTCGATCCCACTGACATTACTACATTTTGCAATGTTGCTATGATATTAGAAAAGAAGGAAATGTTGGGCAAACATTTAATATGACAGCTAAAAAAAAGTTATCAGATATATTTTTCTGCCCAATCTCAACTCTATATACAACACGAAATCCCAAGGTCATTTTTTTAAGAGACCATATTCCCACCGAGCATACGTATATTTTGGATATATCTTTGCACAGGTAGATATAACCGTGTTTTATAAAGACAAGAATTACTGTCTTCAAAACATTTGTAGAGTCTTTACTGGTTTTTAATACCAATTTATTATTTATCTGCTTCATAATGTCATTTGCTTCCTTGTTTGCAACGCATGGTGTTGGGGTTGGAGGGGGCTAGGAAGCAAGCCCATGTACAGTGAAGAAGCTTTATACAGGAGTAATGTGGCTGGGGAAAGGCTAAGTACAATGAAAAGAAGTAGGCAATTGCTCTCTCCAAATACACAAATCTACATCCTTAATTTAAATCCTAATTTAAATTTAGCAATGGGTGATAAAATTCACTACTGCAAAGCTACAAGTTAAACTTATGATATAAAAGAATACTTGTTTTTCCATTTTGTACCTTAAATGTCTTCAGGCTTTCTGGTATTAACACCTCTGCTTTCACCCATTTTCTGTCAGTTGATGTGTTGTATATCCAAGATATTTCTTCTTCCTTTGATTTAAATGAAATGACATTACTCATTCCCCAAATTCTACTCTAATATTTCCATATGTGCTCTCTCAATTACATTTCAGTAGAGTTTACCCTATCTGTACCACATGAAGTACTAGGAAGCCTAAAGTATTGGTAAAAAAGTATATAACATTTTTTAAAGGAACAATAAAATGGAGGCAGGAAAGGATGAAAAAGTAGAGCCCAGAGGATATTTAGGGCTGTGAAAATACTCTGTATGATAATATATGGTGGACACATGTCATTATACATTTGTCCAAGCCCACAGGATGCACAACACCAAGCAAAACCCTAATGCAAACTATGGACTTTGAGTGATAATGACATGGCAATGCAGGTTCATCATTTGTAACAAAGGTACCATTCTGATGGAGGATGCTGATAATGGGGACTGCTCTGCATGTGTGGGGACAGGAGGAAAATGGGAAATCTCTGTATTTTCCCCCTAATTTTGCTAGGAACCTAAAACTGCTCTATAAAAACAGTCTTTAAAAAAAATAAGGAAATAAATCATATCTATATAGTAAAGCTGTTTATTTTTTTATGATGGAGAGTAAGGACAGAACAAACATTTGAATGGAATTTTAAATAAAGTACTTCAAAAAGACAATTCTCAATAGAAATTCATAATGCCAGCTACTTTAATGTTGATCCCAATAACATTCCTACATTTTATTATATTACCATGACATTAGAAAAGAAATGACAGGCAAACACTTAACATGAAAGTTTAAAAAAAAATGTTATCAGATATATTTTTCTGCACAATCTCAATTTCTATATGTATTTTTTTCTATGGGAGAATTCATTCTAAGTTCCAAACAATACAGTTATTTTCTGGAGTTTATATTTCTATTTGACTCTCTTATCATTCTATCAAAGACCTTTTTGTGCCTTCTAGAGCATGCTATGTCATGCATCTGTAAAATGATCATTTTCCAGTTGGCAAAGTGTATGGAAAATTACGTTTCTACTATACACTATAAGGTAAGATACTCAATAAAAGTCTATAATGCAGTCCAAAGTTTTGCCTATGTTATTGTGCTTTATGATTTACGACCATGCTTTTACGCTCTGGAATACTAATTTCTTTAGATTCTATCAAACATGCAAGTTAATTTGACATTTCCCTGGGAAAGATAGACCAGATTGTTCATAATATTTATGCAATGGATGCATTGATTGTTTTCATGTATCAGTATAGTGAAAATGCAGAGTGGCATAAATATGTCTCAGGTTGAGCTCTGAGACTGTGCGTGTCCTCCTTCTACTGTGAGATAGAAAACAGCACTGGAAGGTGACATCTCATTGTAATTCAAATGACACATGACACTTAAGACTTTTTCAGACTCTCGTAAGCATTAATCTCTCAGCTTTGCTTATTTCATTCATAGCCAACATTTTCTAAAAAGGAGTCTATTTTCAACTTAGTCCTTTACCCTCTGATGTCTGCTCCAATTTCCAAGTCTTAAATATTTCAGAAGATAATCTAAACCTGTGAAACATCCATGGTAGACATCTTTTCAGCTGAGAGCTTCTGGGTCACTTCAGGATGAACCAGAGTTACACACAGTTGGGACACACAACTAATCTTTCTTTCAATAATTTCCTATGCAACTTCAGCTATTTAGCTTCGAGACACTGACATCCTCCACAGATGCTTTAAGTGACACTGCTTGGTAAGTTGCATTCATCATGTCCCTTCACTTTCATCTTATGAAAATAACTTAGAGCATTTGTGCTCTTTTTTCACAATGACTTAATTAATTCCCCTCTGCTCAACTCGAAGAAGAATGTTTTCATTTTTTTGAAAAGTGAGAATTCTTTCTAAACTTAAATGACTTTTTGTACCCTAAGTTAATGGTATGTTATGAAATACAGATTTTCCTATCACATTTTCTTGTCTGACAACAAAAGTAATGAAAAAGAAAAAGAGTTTACTCCTACTAAATAAAATCAGCTTTTATTTTATTCTGTCCTCACTCTCAGACTCTTAACTAGTTATTTTCAACAGGTGGCAATGTAAGAAAGAAACCCTCAGCTCAGAAAAACCTTTCAAGTGATGTTTTAATTTTCTATTATCTTAAAATCAATCAATCAACAAAAATTTTTTAATAAGTCTTTACTCCCCTCGACCAGGATCAATAATGCCATTTTACCTTTCAAGGAAAGAATTGCTCTATCTCCTAGAGATCTCAGCTTATCCTTCTCTCTTCCAGTGAAGAAATCAAAGGTACCAAATTCCAGATTGCTGTTTTTGTTCTTTTTAAACTACTTTTGAGGGGCACCTGGGTAGCTCAGTACGTTAAGCGTCTGCCATCTGCCCAGGTCATGATCCTACGGTCCTGGGATCAAGCCCCGCATCAGGCTCCCTGCTTGGTGGAGAGCCTGCTTCTCCCTCTTCCTGTGCCCCTCCCCCCTACTCATGTTCTCTCTTGCTCGTTCAGCACTCTCTCTCTCTCAAATAAACAAATTTTTTTTTTCAAATAAACAAATTTTTTAAAAATTAAACTACTTTTGATTAAATGCGGGAACAGGAACATGTACTTTGGCAAAGACATTCCTTCGAGAAAAGCTTATTATGGCCTTTAAAAACGGTCTCATACAAGAAAAGATACTTTCTGTGGCATTTTCTTCACTGCCCCAGCTATGTGTTCTTCCTATTTGCCACTGGCAATCTGTAAAATATGTAAAAGGTACCACAAGCTGGGCACCCCACTATCCTTGGCTCACTGACATGGAAACTGCCTTCAGGATAAAAGATAGGCTGTTGCTATGATTATTATTTTATAGATGATAGACAGAGACCTAATCTCAAGGATGGCTATATGGTACAAACTAGAACTGTTACACACTTAAGCTGACCCTAAAAGAGAGTCAACTTTTTATTTAACAACTTGCCTTTCACCTGTGTTTTCTACTTCTCAAGTTCTGATGTCTTCTGAAAATAAAGAAAACTACCTTTAGCATCCTTACAAGGTATTTCTTGATTTACTTGCTCATATCCTAAGGGTTATTTTCTTTATTCTATTCATGGAAGATTTAAACAATCATTTTCATCAAGAGCTAATTTTCTTAAAGGATGGGTTTGGAGTCCTTTTTAATTCTGTGATAAAACATCAGCTTATAATTTAAATGTATTTTGATGCAGATTTTGCATTGGTGACCAATATGTTATATATTATATGTAGAGATCAGAGCAAATAGTATGTAAGAAAAAATAGGATATTGCCTTGCAGAATACTGGGTAAACTAATAAACCAAATATCACTCAGTGCTGGTTCTGATTAATACATTAGATCAGTTCTCCATGATTACCTTATTTTCTTATATATGATGTGGTATCTGAAGTCAATTTGTTTATAATCTTTTCTTATACACTCCCAAATTTACAATCCATCACTGATGTTCAGCGTAGATTAAAATAATCTTTAGGATTAGGATATATATGACACAAATGTCTACTTAAATTTAAGATAACTCATTCAACATTCAGTGAATATTAATTACCTATCATGTGAAAAGTACTATCATATGACCATATTTTTTTTAAAGATTTTATTTATTTGTTTGAGAGAAAGAGAGAGCACAAGCAGGGGGAAGGGATAGAGGGAGAAGCAGACTCCCCACTGAGCAGGGAGCCCATTGTGGAACTCGATCCCAGGACCCTGGGATCATGACATGAGCCAAAGGCAGATGCTTAACCAACTGAGTCACCCAGGCACCCAGGACCATATATTTTTTAAAACACCTTTAACTATAATATAAATTCAATGAGATTATTCTAGTGTAAAATACTATCACAAAAATGCCACAAAACTATAACATAGTTACAGAACATTAGAAATTGTGTCTCATCCATGAAAACAAACAAAATGTATTAGGCCATCTAATGAGCCTATTCATTCAATTTCATGCTTTAGAACTCTGTGAATGTTCTGAAAAAGAAGAGGTAGAAGAAAAAAGACTGGACATGAAGAAAATGATACAAAAGAAAAGAGAGGGGTGATGTGATAGAACTAGGGGGAAAAAAAGAGAATTCCTCTTGAATTTTCACTTCTCCCAGTAATAGGCAAGTAATAGGTCATACCTGAGGTTTAATTATGATGGCACTTCAGACTTCAGAAGCAAATGGAACAGAAGAAAATGTTATTGACAGATGGTTAGTGATATTTGGTAAGAATAGATGATAAATAACCTTTTGTTGGAAAATGAATCTGGCCAATGTCAGAGGAAGTTTCAACTGGATTTATTCAAAGCATCTGAAGCCAAAAGAATCTTGAGTTGGATGTTTTTACTGTCTTCCTTTTTCCTGTCAGAATTCCGCAATTATTGTTAACTGTTTCCCATTGCTAGAATGACTGCTATTTACCCCTGTGATTTTTTATTTAACTTCTATCTATAAATAAATTTTCTTCACAATAGAAATTCTCAAAGTGTCTCAGATATTTTTCCACTTGTGGAGGATTGTTTTCAGTTAAATTTAGGTATAAAAGAAAAAAAGAAAAAAGCTTGGATTTGTTTTATTTGCTAGCAATACCACTGCAATTTTCACTCAACCCAGTGAGCCATTTTTTTCCATTCCAATGACTCATTTGTTTGTATTTAATCAGTAATTATCAGTCTCTAAAATTATATCTACTAGTACCATAACAAGGAATTTGTATCCATCATAATTATAGGTCTAGTGATATATGGATCTAAAATCCAAAACAGATCCATCAGAATGTCAATACAGAGCCAACAATACAGAATCTCAAATATCTCATTTTTATTAGACCTATAATTTCTTTAATATACTTCCATGAATTTTTAACAATTTTAAAAAATAAGATTGTACAAATTATCACATTAAATTTTCTACATGACAGTATTTTTTTTAAGTAGCCTCCATGCCCAGCATGGAGCCCAACACTGGTCTTGAACTCACAACCTGAGATCAAGACCTGAGGTGAGATCAAGAATAGGACACTTAACCAACTGAGCCACTCTGGCACACCTACGTGACAGTAGGTCTTAAACCTGGTCTTTAAAAAAAAAAAAAAAAATGTTTTATTTATTTACTTGAGAGACAGAGATAGCTAGAGAGAGAAACGAGCTGGGAGGAGAGGGAGAAGCAGGCTCCCCGCTGAGGAGGGAGCCCGATGCAGGGCTCGATCCCAGGGCCCTGGGATCATGACTTGAGCCAAAGGTAGATGCTTAACCGACTGAGCCACCCAGGCACCCCATAAAACAGGTTCTTAATATTTCTTCTGAAAGGTATACTAATAAAGTCAAGTTAAAGAATACCTAAAGCCTACACACAACTGAGAAATAGAAACACAAGTTGCCAAAATAGAAATTTCACTTATTCAATGAATTTGAAATAAATATGTTTCTTCTCACCTTAATATTGTACAGTCCTACTCTCAGAACACTGTTTTCCATGGAATAATAGAATTGAAGACGGCAGCTCTTGCCCAGGCAGTGACACACAGAGCTATTTAAATAAGCCCTGCTGTCTACATGGTTAAGAGTAGAAGTATCCTTAGCTCCTACCCATATATAATAACCTGAAAAATGAAGGAAAAGGAAGTAATTTAGAAAAACTTAGCTGCTTTCTGTTTGAACAAAATTATTTTATTTATGGACTTTTCAAAATCAGGCTTGAAACACTAATATTTTACTTAAAGGGATAGGATGTTTTATTTATTTACTGATTTATTTATTATTATTAGAGATATGATGTTTTAAAATGATTATGTCAACTACAAATTAAAAGTTTTCATTTCCATATATGATTTTAAAATGCATTGATATCTGCTCCTGGTTCCTGAAATTAAGAAATTTCAACTCAATATTCTTTTTTTTTTTTTTAAACATTTTATTTATTTGACAGAGAAAGACACAGTGAGAGAGGGAACACAAACGGGGAGTGGGAGAGGGAGAAGCAGACTCCCCACTGAGCAGGGAGCCCGATGCAGGACTCGATCCCGGGACTCCAGGATCATGACCTGAGCCGAAGGCAGTCGCTTAACCAACTGAGCCACCCAGGCGCCCACAACTCAATATTCTTTTAAAAAGATATCTCCTGATATAAAAAATCTCTGTGCTACAAAATTATCATCATTTTCTTTAAATGTCACAATGCAATCTTTCTTTAACCAAGAATTCCTCACCTTTCTTCCCAGAATTCTTTCCCCTTTTATTTTTTCTACTTTTTAGTTATAGAAAAACCTTTATAGTTTAAGGGAATATAATGTAAACATTATAATTAAATTATATATAATTAACATATAACATATAATCAAAATCTCTTACCCAACCACATGGAAGTATCAGATACCACAGTCCTATTAAACTGCACGTATGGATATTGTAGTACGTAAAAATATTATCAATCAACTTTATCCCATCTGATACTTAAAACAAATTTGCACAGTTCTTAAATTTAATAATATAGACAATGCAGAGACACAAAGATATTTCTATGATTTTACAACTTCACTTTTCAATAATAAAGTTTTTCAATGGGTTATTTCTGTGTAAGTTAGTATATATTACTGTAATTTCTAAAAACTATGAATTTAAATTAGGTAAAACTCTTATTTATTGAGAAATATAAGACTTTAAGCAAAATACCATTTTAAGTTAACACTTTGTATCTAACGAAACACAAAGAAACGATAAGATAAAGACACATTTTTACAAAAGCTGAGATAGATCAATTTCAACATAAAATATCTCAAAAGATAAGGAAAGAACAATTCTACCAAGTGATGAGTAGGGCTGAAACCACAGAACTCTGGAACTTTGAGACCAGACCCAAGCTGTGGTATCTTAGATTCTGACTAACTTGAATGTTGCAAACAAAAGCTGGAGGAACAAACTCTCTCAATGAAGTCAAAGATTAAAGTTGGGGAATCCTGCTCAAAAACTAAGGTGGAAAATATACCAACATTCACTACCTTGGGCTGTGAGTAAGTGACAGGATGTGCTAAATTCCAAGCATTATCACGAAGTATGAAACCCTAAACTAGTACTGTTTCTAGGATCAGTCTTGGGGAAAGAGACATGAGAAAACACCTGGACTGTTCAGCCATTAATAACAAGGCTTATATTAAAAAGAAACAAATTTACCACCACCTTACTAACTGGAGTTTGACCAGAACCTAACTGACCTGTGAGAAGAGAAATATCAACTCAAGCAGGCTTTAGCCCTCCACATGAGGGGAGGAAAATACCCAGATCCAGCCCCCTCCAGCCTTCTCACCTAATATTGGGGGAGGAAGCACTTTTAAAGGTCATGTAACAGAGGAACAATCTCACCAAAAGAATGAGATCTAATCATAGTACTCTAGAATGTTTCTCTTCCTCCTTACAACTTACCACAACTCACATAAAAAGGGGTCCTGTATAATAATAGGGTAATACTATCCAATGAACTGTAGGTCTCAGACATAATTTAAGGTCTAGGGAAACCCAAAACAATGGGTAAGACAAAAACAAGGATACCAGATGAAATTTTAGCCTCACACATCTACAGTTGTGGCAAGCAGTAAAGAATCTAATCTCTAGCTACATAAACATAATAGGTCATGCTAAACCTATTGACCTTAATTCCCTTTACATAGCACATCATGTTTGCCTTTCAACAAAACATTACAAAGCATACGGAAAGGCAAAGAACAAAAAACATAGTTTGAAGAGAAAGAGCAAGTATCAGAACCAGACCGAGATATGGCAGGAATGTTGGAATTATAAGACTAAGAATTTAAAACCACTATGAGGAGGGGGAGGAGCAAGATGGCAGAGGAATAGGAGACCTAAAATTTCGTCTGGTCCCAGGAATTCAGCTAGATAGGGATCAAACCATTCCAAACACCTACGAACTCAACAGATCTAAGAAAAGAATAGCAACAACTCTCTGAACAGAAAAGCGACCACTTTCTGGAAGGTAGGACATGTGGAGAAGTGAATCTGAGGCGATATTTGGGAGGAGAGAAGGCGGGAAAGGAGGCCTCCGTCAGCCGCTTCTGGCAAGTGATAGAGCCGTGGAGCACAAAATCAGAACTTTTAGAAGTCTGCTCCGCTGGGGGATGTCGCTCCAGTGGCTAAGTGGGGGGTGGAACCCTCGCGGACAGTGTGGTCTCAGGACCCTCAGGGTCACAGAAAGACCGGGGGTGCCTGAGTGCAGCAGAGCTCCCAGGTATCGGAGCAGGGAAGCCGGCTGCAGAGACGGAGCCCAGGTGCAGGCTCTCAGCTTGGGGTTGCCATAAACTGTGATCCGCGGCACAGTCGGGCCACTGCTCCTCCAGCAGGGACCCAACAAGTGGCAGATCTGGGGAGACTCACCTTCCTCCCCAGGAGGAGCAGCACAGGAGCCAGGGATCTGCTGGGTTTGGAGACTCCACACTGAGTGGGGTGCCAGAGATAGAAACACTCCGTCACAGGCTGGGTGAGCACAGAGTGCAGCGGAGACTGGGGAGACGGGAGTGACTGACTGCTTTTCTCTGGGGGCTCAATGAGGAGTGGGGCCCGAGTTCTCGGTTCCTCCAGGGCAGAGATTGGGAGGCTGCCATTTTCACTCTTGTCCTCCAAAGCCATATGGAAAGCTTACAGGGAACAAAAGCTCCGGAGAGCAAACCCGAGCAGATTACTTAGCCCTACCCGGCAAGGGCAGGGCAATTCCACCTCTGGCAAAGACATCTGAGAACTACTGCAACAGGCCCCTCCCCCAGAAGATCAGCAAGAACAGCCAGCCAAGACCAAGTTTACCAATCAATGAGAACAGCAGAACTCCATCGCTACAGGAATACTGCACATAGAATTCATGGCTTTTTTCCCCCTGATTCTTTAGTCTTTCAAAGATAACTTTTTTAATTTTCTTTTCTTTTTTTCTTTGAATTTTTCTTTTTCCCTTTTTCAACCAATATCTTATCAATCCCTTTTCTAAAAATATTTTTTATTTTTCATTTTTAGAGTCATATTCTATCCCTTCATAGTAGTTAACCTTATTTTTGGTATATACATAAGTTGTTCTCTCTTTAAAATTTTGGGATACAGTTTCTTCTAACAGACCAAAATATACCCTAAATATCTAGTGTATGGCTTTGTTCTAGTCTCCTCCCTGATCACATTCTCTCCCCCCTCTTTTTTTAATTCCTCTTCTTACTTTTTCAACCAACTTCTTATCTAATTAATTCCTTTTATAAAATCTTTTATAATTTTCATCTTTACCATCATATTCTATCCCTTCATCATATTTACCGTTATTTTTGTACATATATAAGCTTTTCTTTCTTTAAAATTTTGGGAGGCACTTTCTTCTAACAGACCAAAATATGGCCAAAATCTAGTGTGTGGCACTGATCTATGCACCAGCCTGATCATATTTTATCATATTCTTTTTTTAAAATCTTTTTCTTTCTTTTTTTTTTTTTCTTTTTTCTTTCTTCTTTCTTTCCCTTTCTTTTCCCCGGGTTTCAGGTCTCTTCTGATTTCTTTACTGTATATTTTTCTGGGGTCATTGTTACCCTGTTAGCATTTTGTTCTCTCATTCATCTATTGTCCTCTGGACAAAATGACAAGACGGAAAAAATCACCTCAAAAAAAAGAACGAGGGGCAGTACCGACTGACAGGGACCTAATCGATATGGACATTAGTAAATGTAGGACCTAGAGTTCAGAAAAAGGATTTTAAAGATACTAGCGGGGCTTGAAAAAAGCATGGAAGATATTAGAGAAACCCTTCCTGGAGAAATAAAAGAACTAAAATCTAACCAAGTCGAAATCAAAAAGGCTATTAATGAGGTGCAATAAAAAATGGAGGCTCTAACTGCTAGGATAAATGAGGCAAAAGACAGAATTAGTGATAAAGAAGACCAAATGATGGAAAATAAAGAAGCTGAGAAAAAGAGAGATAAACAACTACTGGATCATGAGGGCAGAATTCGAGAGATAAGTGATACCATAAGAGGAAACAACACTAGAATAATTGGGATCCAAGAAGAAGAAGAAAGAGAGAGAGGGGCAGAAGGTATATTGGAGCAAATTATAGCACAGAATTTCCAAATTTGAGGAAGGAAACAGGCATCAAGGGGAACAGAGAACCCCCACAAAATCAATAAAAATAGGTCAACACCCCAACATCTAATAGTGAAACTTATGAGTCAAAGACACAAAGAGAAAATCCTGAAAGCAGCTCAGGACAAAAGGTCTGTAATCTAGAATGGTAGAAACACTAGATTGGCAACAGACCTATCTACAGAGACCTGGCAGGCGAGAAAGGACTGGCATGATATTTTCAGAGCACTGAATGAGAAAAATATGCAGCCAAGAATACTATATCCAGCTAGGCTGTCATTGAAAATAGAAGGAGAGATAAAAAAGCTTCCAGGACAAACAAAAACTAAAGGAATTTGCCAACACGAAACGAGCCCTACAAGAAATATTGAAAGGGGTCCTCTAAGCAAAGAGAGAGCCTAAAAGTAACATAGACCAGAAAAGAACACAGACAATATACAATAACAGTCACCTCACAGGCAATATAATGGCACTAAATTCACATCTT